GCAGCCCTGCTGGGGCATGCCTGCCTCCTAGCTCTGTTGGGCAGCCCTGCTGGCCTGCCAGCCCACAGAGCGCTCCACTGGTACTCTCTGGTCCTGGAATATGCATGGTCCTCCTGGATGCTTACAGAGGCTCAACCTGTAGATTGTGTTTTACACCAACTGCAGGTCAGTGGAGGAGAAGCAAAAATAGACAGACTGCTCTTTAACATGTTGCTGTTGTGGTGTATGAATGCATTGTAGAGAGCACAGGAAACAACCATTATTGTCTGTGGCAGTTTTATTGCTGCCCATGTAGTCTGTGGGTTCAGTAATCATGCATTAGATTCTGAACTTTAAAATCAAGATTTTTTTTTAAATCCCAAAATTCAAAACAAAATTGCCCTAATAATTCCTATGACATTATGTGGTATTTAAAAATTCTAACCATAGCTTTCAACTCAAACAAATTACAAATATTTGAGGAAAATATCTCAGATGTTTGGCTTGTTGACCTAGCTAGCCTGCTGGTGGTGCCCAAAGTGCTGTCATAGTGAAACTGGGACTAGCTAGCATGATTGAGGAATCTGAAAAAAATAACAGATTGAATTAGGCACATATTGCTGATGTAGAATTGAGATTTTTACGGTGGACCATCTAAAACGTATAATCACTGTTTGCAGAAAGGAATTTAGCAGAAAGGCTCCCAATCTTTTTCAGCATATGGACCCCTTTGCAATCTATTAACATTTTACAGACCCCCAAACAATATAGCTGTGCCTGCAGCTTGCATGTCCCTCAGCCCGCGCTACTTCCCAAGCTGTATCCCTCAGCCCGCTTGGGAAACAGCTCTGCCTATCCGCTCCCAACTTTCTGCAAACCCCTAAAGCACTTCTCATCCTAAAGCAATGAAGATACACCTTTAAGATGGAAGGTGGCAACTGTTAAATGCATCATAGCGACTCTACACAAGAGTTTACAACTAGTGAAGAACCATAGTATTTAATCCTGCCAGCAAAGAATATTTTGCAATAGGCAGAATTTAGGCAATTAATCAGCATCTTTTGTCATTCATAAGTGCTTAATTCTCATTTCCTCCTCCCTTGCCTTCAACAACACAAGTTTTGCTACAGCAGATCTGAATGCTGCTTTGTCAGCAGGAGCACTCTCCTGCTGACAAAGCAAAAGCCACGCATGGGGGCTAAAAGTAATCTGTGGACAGAAAATGGCTGTGTTGACGCAGTCTATTGCTAAAAGCTGCATTGTGTAGACGTAGCCTTAGTAATCCAAATAGGAATGTGGCCAAGACATTAGAGCTTTCTCTCTCCTCTTTCTGTGATATGAGGAAAATTCCAAAATTATTATTTCTGTTTTATCGGCAAGGAGTCCTGTGGCACCTTCTAGACTAACCGAAGTGTTGGAGCATAAGCTTTCGTGGGCAAAGACCTACTTCAGACCAAAGCTTATGCTCCAACACTTCGGTTAGTCTAGAAGGTGCCACAGGACTCCTCGCCGCTTTTGCAGATTCAGACTAACACGGCTACCCCTCTGATACTCGATTTCTGTTTTATGTCTCTCCTGGAAAAACTACAGCAGCACACTGCCCCCGTTCATTTTGCTTAGACATTGATTTGTGACTCGGGTGGAAGAATGCCACCAGCTCACTTATGCTACCGTGTTATGGTAAAGAGCCACACATTTAAATTCATAACTTTGCTTGTCACGAAAAATAATGGACTGAATAGAGAGATGCTAGAGTTATGGCATATTACAATAGACTGGGAATGGCTCATTACAATAAATTTTCCACTTCAGGTAAATTCACTTTCTTATCCACATCAACCCTGATGAAATAGCTTTGATGTAACACTCTTGTCTCTGTATCCCTGTTTCTTTCTCTGTTTCTTTTTCTTTCACTTCATCTGATGTAGTGAGTTGTAGCTTATGAAAACTTATACCATAGTAAAATTGTTAGTCTTTAGAATATCACCGGACTCCTTGTTGTTTTTGCTGAAACAGAAGTGTCTACCTCTGAAACCTTACAACAGTCTGCAACCCACTATCAGCTTACCTCCCTGCCCCCTTCCTTTTCTGCTTGTGACTGGAGATGTTAATGGGCCACTTCACCTTGAATGATCCCTTGAAATATGTGTGAACTACTTATGCTGAACAATTGATTCCAAATTGTAGCTAAAAGGTTAATTTTTGTCAGTTATTTTTAGTAAAAGTCACACAGGGGTCATGGGCAATAAACAAATTTATAGAGCAGTGACCAACATGTCCCTGACTATTATGAAAACAGTCGTGGGAGAGAGGGGGGGAAGGCAGAATTATGGGAAAAAGAAAAATGATAGTCCATGCTCCATGGGAAGGGGGGGAACTGATAGCCCCAGCCCCACTGCTGGGGAGAGGGAGAACTAGGGTGCACATCCCTTGCCAAAGTGGCTGAGAGGGAACAAAAGCTGCTGTTCTGGCTGAAGCTGCAGAATGGGGATGCACTGGCAGTTTCTGGCTGAAGCTGAGAGGTAGGTGAAGCCACAGGATTGGGACGCATGGCTGCTGCTGATAGCTGAAGTCAGTCATGGAGGTCCATGTCCTCCACGACCAAATTATAACCTTAAAAAAACAGTCCCACATAATCAACCCTCCTTTGCGCTGAAAGGAGGGGAATGGGTGGTCAGAACTTGCTGTATTCTACCAGTTTTTTCCACATTATGATGGTTAATGGTTTTTTTTCCATTAATATTTCGGTGGTAAGGAAATATACTCTTGCTAAGTTGTAAAAATAAAGTTTTATATAAATGTTAGAGATGTCCACTCTAGGATTAGTTTTTAAGAATGATTTCAGGTTGGTTAGAAGGAAAAAAATGTCACTGAAGACATAAATCACTATATGTGTTCAAGTTATGTTTGTTTCCTTTTTCATTTAGCTCCAGAAAATTAAATGAACGTCTATATTAAATATTGGCGAGTTGCATTAGGTATATTAATGAGCACTTTAGCGTTTGCACCCTCAAATGTCATGTTCCAAAGAGACTCATTCCTTTTAGGTGTGTGTTTTTTGCTCGGTGTTCTGAAACTGATTAATTCAGTGAAAAGCAATTCAGGCTTAATTTAATGAATGAACAGGTTTGTTTTTTAGTTTGTTTTTTGGTAAAAGCAAAAACAAAGATTTCCAGCATTTTAAGAAAAATTGTGTTTTAACTCCGAAAATATTAACTGGCGTTTAGAACTGTACAGTGACAATTTGTGGGTGAGAGCCAACTTCCTTCCAACAAAAAAATGGCTTTTAGATATTATCCCAGTGAATATAAATGACAGCTGCAAGTTGGAGGTAACTTTGTTCAGCACTATCCCATCTTATTTTTTTCTGTCTTGCTATGTATGCAGGAAACAGTGGGAATGACCATACTCTGCTGTTGACTGTACAAAGTAAACAAACTGAAAAATGAGTGTCTTGCACAATTAGTCATTTTAGGTGTAACTTGAAACAAGAGTAGAAAGGCTCAACATAGAAATTCCTTTTCATTTAAAATTGAATGTCTGTTTAAGCATGAACTCTTATAATATATTGTGTGTTTTCCGTAAAGAAACCTTATGGCTGTTAAAGAATATCAACTTTTGCTTACAGTATCCATTTGTGCCTGCTGTCCTGGTTGTCGGGAACTGAGCCCCTTACTTGTCTCTCTAATGTGATAAGCACTGGGTGCCCATAACTCCATCAGAAATCAAGTCCTAAAACTTTGATAAATGTTAGATAAATGTTAGAATAAGATTTGCTGCATTCTTTGATTTCTTAGTTTGACTTGTCAATTACTGATATATTCAAAATGCTGTGTGTACTACCCAGAGTACTAGTTATATTGCATGTCCTCTAAAAATAACTTCTGCCATCTTCTGTCTGCAATAACTGAGAGACTGCGCTATCAGTAGTTGCTTATTTTAACTCCAGTGTATTTTCATTGACTGTTCTACAATGCCTACCTCGGCTTAGAAAAGAGCATCCTTGGGTATGCAAATATCTAACAAATATAGTTTGCCTTTTCTTTCTTCGGAAGCTATTCACGTACATTGCACTTGGTTTGGATAGCTTTTTTTCATTTTAAAGCCCTTCATCCAAAACTGGAAGCAGAATGTATATCACTAAAAATGAAAATGAAAACATTTTAATCCGAATCCTCAAAGAATTGTTTGGTATCTCTCCAACCTGAGGAGTCCAGGTTAGAACTCTTCCAGTAGTGGTGTCTCGTAGTGCAGTTAGTGACCTCAGTCACTGTAAATCCTGAAGCACAGAAAAGTGCATGTAGAGAAAATTTAATATAAATGGATATGTTTACAAAATATTTATCTTGCTTTAAGAGATTAATATTGAGGGTTGGAATACCATATTTCTTACAGACTACTTACCAGATCTTCACATTTGTACTTTCTTCAATGCACACCCTCTTTTTCACCTCCAACCCTCTAAAAACAAATTAGGCAGAAATTAATTCCACCATACTTGACAAAACCAGTCCCTTTGCTATTAGCATTTTTGGATTTGGTGGGCTGATTTCAGTCTCCTAGCTAGTGGTGGTTCATGGTTGGGGGGGATGTTCCAGCTGGAGAGCTAAACCTGTATTTGTATATATGTAATACAGTGAGGTGAGTGAAACTGAATATATAATACAAAGGAATTTCAGACTCTTTATTTCCTTTCTACACAGGGAAAATATTTATCCCCAAGCAGAAGCCTGTACAGTCTTTCATAGAAGAAAAAGTCTCTCTTGATCCAGAACTGGAGGAAGCTTTAACAAGTGCTACAGATACAGAACTGTGTGATCTTGCAGGTTAGTTTTTAAAGCATGGGTGTGTTTGTGCATATTCATAAATACATTGTAATTCTGTAGTAACTATTACTATATCTTTGTCACCTGAAAACTGGTAAAGCCTGAAGGTCTAGTTGTTTTAGAAAGTGAACCATCTCACGTTACACATTTTTGGAGGTTTGCAGAAAAAGCATTGTACAAATTATCTCCCCCATACAAAATTATTCACCATTTTATTGTTCTTGGATGTAAATAAGTAAGAAATGTGTTAAGAGCTCCCCTAAACGGGCTGCCCTTTTTTTTATTATTATTGTTTAAGTAAATGTGTGCTACATCCCTTCCTCAACTGTAGAGATGTGACATTGCGTGCCTTGTAAAACTAGCTTCAGACTGACAAAGCAGCAAAGGGTATGGTTTACACAGGTTGAAACTCTGTAATCCAGGCTTCCCTACTCCAGCAACTCCGTGGGTGCTCTGTGGCTGTAGAACTCCTGGAAGAAAAAACAGCAGGCTGAGGTAGGAGCATTGCCAGACTGGGAAAGACTGAAGCCCCGGACACTGGAGCAGCGGTGACCTGGTGTCCCAGGGGCCAGGGATGAAGCTGGCATTGATGTCCTCTGGTCTGGCAGATTCCCTGGCTTGGGACTGGTGGATTGTGGAATATGGTTTAAACTGCACACTTGACTCTGGGTCATGGTGTCTATTGGTGGGGTTTTGATGATGGTTTTGGAAAAGGGCAGGCTAAATAGAACATTAATTACTTTAATGTTATTAGAATTAGTACACAAATGGTGAATGCTTTTCATTAAACAACTGACATTTTCCAGCCAGATGCAATTATTCATCTCTCAAATATTCTTCAACGTCTGAATTTAAAGAGCAGGGAACAGTAAAATTCTTCTCTTACAGCTATCCTGGGAATGCACAACTTGATACCCAACTCTCAGTTCTGTGATGTAGTAGGAAGCAGTAATGGTGTCAGCAATGAAAGCTTCACAGGTGAGTATAGTCCAGATCCAAATGAAAGCCTGTGTACAATTTCAAGTGTCCAGTCATTTTGCTACTGCAACATGAACTATGTAATATGTTACATTTATATTCTTGATACAGAAAAAGCATTTAATTTTGACTAGGAAACTAAGATTTTTACATCAAATAATAAATTAAATGAG